TGGAGCTGCCCCAGGGCAGGTTTAGGTTGGCCATGGGGAAGAAGTTCTTCCCAGAGAGAGGGATCAGCCCTTGGAATGGGCTGCCCACGGAGGGGGTGGAGTGCCCGTCCCTGGAGGGGTTTGAGCAGAGCCTGGATGTGGCATCAGTGCCATGGTGGGGGTGCCAAATTTGGGTTGGGTCACAGGTTGGACTCGATGATCTCAGAGGTCTTTTCCAGCCTCTGTAATTCTGTGATTCTGGGATTCTTCCACCCCAAGGTGCCGTCGGTGGAGAAGGTTTTGAAGGCCATGGCTGGGCTGCCCCGAAGCGACTTTGAGGAGATGATTCGCCAGGTTTGGGGGGTCAGGGTGGAGCAGGGGGGTCCAGCGCCCACACGCAGCTCCAGCTCAGCACCCCCTCTTTCCTTGCAGGGCAATGGCACCTTCAACTCCATCCCGGAGCTGGCTGTGGAGAGGATGGCACAGGTCATCCAGGGTGAGTGAGGTGGTCGGACCAGGGACACCCTCCAAGGGGCGAACCCTGATTTGAGGGGGCACAGGGTGGGATGAGGGAACCATCCACGCCTCCAGCACAGCCTTGGCCCCGCAGATCTGCGGGAGGAGCTGTCCCACACCGCACAGAAGGTGCAATCCATCGCTGACAGCTTCCCCCTCCCCGACTACACCCGGCCCGCCAGCAAAGCCCTGGTGACGGCGGAGGAGCGGAGCCGGCCCTACCTGCGGGAGGTGGAGCGCTTCGAGCACTACAGGTGACTCTGGGGAGCAGGGAGGGGGGCAGCGGTGCAGCAGGGGCAGGTGCTGAGCCCTGCTGAGCCCCAGCTGGTGCCTCAGCCCCGTATATGAGGGCTGTGGGGAAATGAGCTCCATCTCAGCCAGACACAACACAAACATGAACACAAACTAACAACTTGAAGCAACTTTGAGAAACCTTACACTCAACGTGCTGCTAAACTGAACTGTGGTAACGTCAAGTTAATGGATTTAGAGACTTTGAAGTCGTTGATCAAGCACTTTGAGTGCTGCCCTTCCTTTTCTGAAGTGATGCACCTTACTCTCCTTTAAATAGTGGNCCCGTATATGAGGGCTGTGGGGAAATGAGCTCCATCTCAGCCAGACACAACACAAACATGAACACAAACTAACAACTTGAAGCAACTTTGAGAAATATTACACTCAACCTGCTGCTAAACTGAACTGTGGTAACATCAAGGTAATGGATTTAGAGACTCTGAAGTCGTTGTTGATCAAGCACTTTGAGTGTTGCCCTTCCTTTTCTGAAGTGATGCACCTTACTCTCCTTTACGTAGTGGTCTTGTGATACAAAGCTGTTCCTCAGCTGGTTCTCAGGATTAAACAGACAGGATACTCTCTCGAGGCTGTGCCCTGCTGCTCTGCCCCCAGGTGGATCGCGGGCACGGTGCTGTGCTCCATCATCCTCCTCATCCTTGCCTGCAACGTGATGGGAATGGCTCTGGGAGCCTACGGGCTTTCCAAGCGTGAGGACCCGAGTGACTACGAGTGCCGAGGAGAGGCTGGTGCCAAGTTCCTCCTGGTGTAAGCATCCCCCTGTGTCCCGAAGGGGCTGTTCCATCTCATCCCCCCAAAAAACCCCAGGAGGGCAAAGCCCAGGGAGGAACTGGGAGGCAGCCCAGTGGAAAGGCTTTTGATGCCACCGCCTGCGCCGGGAGGAGTGGGAGAAGCGGCTCCTCCCTGGGAGCTGGCAGCTCCTGTGCCCTGGCCCCGCTGCCTGGCACACCCCACTCCCAGGGCCCTTCCCAGCCCAGCGTGCCCGGGCTCGGGAAGGAGCCCCGGGGCTGCAGCTGGATGGGCAGGTCCCTGCAAGCCCCGGTCCTGCCCTCTCGGGGCTGCAGACCCACCCCCTCCTCTCCCTCCTGCAGCGGCGTGGGCCTGGCTTTCCTGTTCTCCTGGCTCCTCATCCTCCTCGTTTTCGCCACCTTCCTGGTTGGGGGCAACATCCAGACACTGGTTTGCAGGAATTGGGTCAACCAGGAGATTTATAAGGTGGGTGGCCACACATGCACCTGCTGCCACATAAATCTCTACTTGTGTGCTCCAAAATGCCTCCAAACACTCTTTGTCCTCCCACTAATCCTCCCACTAAACCTGACTGGAAAAGCACCATCCTAGACCAGAAGATTAAGTTTAGGATGATGTCCTTGGATTTGCATCAGCAGCAGGGAATTTCCTTCAGGCTGTTAATTTGCTACCTGTGGGATCCCTGTTCCCTGGTCCTTGGGGATCTCCGGGGTGCTTGGGGCTGGCACATGGTGTGATGGTGCTGAGAGAGGGGTTGGGGGATTGGGGATGGGATCAGGACTCATCCCATGGCTGGACACATGCAGGCAGGTCCCAGCACAGGGCTGTCCACTGTTTTCCCTCTGAACACACTGGGTGAGTCTCTGCAGTGGGGACCATACAAATAAAGGCAAGATTAGTTCTGGATGGGATGAGGTACCTCAGGACACAACTGTGAGGGCAGAACACCCCCAGAATCATTGCTGGGAGTGCCTGTGCCTGACCCTGACCCTCTCTTTCCTCCTGTTTGGCCCAGTTCATTGACACCCCTGGGAATCTCCCTCCATCCATGAACCTCACCCGCCAGCTCAACCTGAGGAGGGACTCCAACCTCAGTGCCACGTACCGGTGGGTGCTGCGAGAGCCCACCCCTGTCCCTGCACATCCAGGGCAAATTTGGGATCATGCTGCCAACATCCCTTTGCCTTCCAGGGACTGCAAGAATGGTGCAGGGCTGTGGGAGGTGCTGCAGCTCGACAGGTCCTACGACCTGGATGAGCACCTGAAAACCCCCAAGGTGAGGGCGGCACCAGCCAGAGCTGCTGGTAACGGCTCAGGGATGCGGGAGCTTTACTGGGGTTACTGGGATGGAGGGGCCTGGCCTCAGCCCTGCAGGACCCCTTGTCCAACCCTCACAGTACACGGCTGACTTCCAAAAACGCCTGGGAGACTTCACTGCCCACCTGGGGGACGTGCGGCTCCTGCGCAGCGAGGGCAGGCAGGACCTGGAGACCTTCGCCCGCAGCGGCCTGGACGAGGTGGACTATGGGCGCTTCCAGGAGGAGGTGAGGGGAGCTGGATCCCTCTGCAGGGAGCAGGATGCAGCCCCATACTGGGACAGTCCTCCAGGTTTGGGTTTTGGGCAGCCACCGACTCTGTTTTCCCTCAGATGAAAAACCCCTTGGTGCAGACCAGCCTGCCTGGCCTGGCCAGGAACCTCGAGGGGCTGCAGAAAATGCAGGTGAGCAGCAGGGTGGGTGGTGGGGGATCTCTCCATGCCCTTGGGGGATCCCTCTGTGCCCATGGGGGTGTCCTCACCCCGCTGTCCCCCCGCAGAGGAACAGCACGGTGGCAGGACGGCTGGGAGCCGAGGCCCGAGCCCTGTGGCAGATGCAAAACTCCACAGTGCAGTCACAGGAGGCTTTGGTGGTGAGTCTGTGCCAGGCTGGTGGCTTGTGGTACCACTGGCACTGCCCAGTGGTGTCCCTTTGAAGGCTTTTTCATCCTTCTCACCTCACTGTCCCACAGGCAAAGCTGGGGGAAAGCGTCCAGTTCCTCTCCCGCCTTGCACCACATCTCAAGGTACTTCCACATCTTCTTCCAGCTCCAAAAAATACGTGGTGCCCTATGGGTCCTGTCTACCAGTGTCCCGAAAAAAAACCAGTTACAGGGTGATGGGAGAGCCAGGAAAAACACCAGTTACAGGGTGATGGGAGAGCCAGGAAAAACACCAGTTACAGGGTGATGGGAGAGCCAGGAAAAACACCATCCAGGGAGGATCAATCTCCTTTGGTGATTAGATTTGCTGCTGCAAATCAGAAATGCCCCTGCAACAGGGGCACATCCCTCTTTCCCTGCCCTCTGGCAACCGGACCCAGCTTAGAGCTCGGCACGCCCTGCTCCCAGCACCCCGGGGCACCCATCCTGCTGCTCCCTGCTCTAAGGATGCTCTTGCTGTGCCCCCCCAGGAGCGGGTGAAGAGGACACTGGCCACCACGGCCTCGGTGGAAGCCCGGCTGCCCGTGCAAGCCCAGCAGATCCTGCGGCAGGTGAGACGGGGCTGAATGAGCCCTCAGGGGGTACAAAATTCCAGAAGGAAAGAGCACAAGAGGGGCAGGAGCACCTGAAGCTTCCAGCTCTTGTTCCAAGTCTGACATTAGCCCAGAGGTGGTTGGAGCAGGGCTGGAAATCATGGCACTGTCCCTCCACGCTGCCTTCCCCCTTCCCAGGAGATCGGTTGCTTCACGAGGAAGGAGCTGAGGTACTTCACCCAGTACCTGAACTGGGTGGGGCAGACGGTGAGTGAGTGCTCCCCTTCAACCCAGGGGGATTCTTGGGGCCAGGACCCTCCCACAGGTCCCACATGCAATCCTTGAGCTGAGCCTTGGCAGTAAAATGCATCCCCCCGGGCCAGAAGAGCACTTATGCCTTGTCTCTACCCCTTGTTCCAGCTGAGAGAGGACGTGGCCTCGTGCCAGCCCCTGGCCACAGCCCTGGACAACGGGAGGGTCATCCTGTGTGACCGCATCGCTGACCCCTGGGTAAGGATCCCATCCTCTGGGGGCCAGAGGGGACCTGAAACCAGGCTGGGGAAGGGCCAGTGTGAGGACACTGAGGGCACTTGGTGTGTTCAGCTGGAGCAGAGGAGACTGAGGGGAGACCTCACTGCAGTTCAACTGCCTGGGAGGGGCAGAAGAGGGGCAGGGACTGAGCTCTGCTCTGGGGGGACCAGGGACAGCACCCAGGGAACGGCTGGAGCTGTGTCAGGGCGGGCTCAGGTTGGATCTCAGGCAAAGGTTCTTCCCCCAGAGGCTGGTTGGGCACTGCCCAGGCTCCCCAGGGCAGTGGGCACAGCCCCAAGGCTGCCAGAGCTCCAGGAGGGGTGGGATGATCCTCTGGGGCACAGGGGGTGACTCTTGGGGCTGGGCCTGTGCAGGGCTGAGGGTCGGACTGATGGTCCTTGTGAGTCCCTCCCAACTCAGCATATCCTGTGATTCCATGACTCCCCAACTCCCCCAGAGCCTGGGGGCTGCCCCTTCCCCACAGCTCAGCAGGACCCCCGTGCTCTCTCCTTGCAGAATGCCTTCTGGTTCAGCCTGGGCTGCTGCACCTTCTTTCTCATCCCCAACATCATCTTTGCCATCAGACTCACCAAACACTTCCGCCCCATCCGCAACCGGCTCATGTGAGTGGTGGGCACGGGGTGGGCACACCGTGGGCTGTAGGAGGACAGAGGGAAAGGGGAATTCAGTTCCTCCTTGACACCCCCCCACCATGTTTTCTTCTCCTTTGCAGCTCTACGGGCTCAGAGGAGACCTGTCCCTTCCACATCCCCCGTGTCACGGCACTCAAGCTGTAGGATGGGGGTCTCCTGAGTGTGCCTCACACCCCACGAGCTCCCACCAAACCTGTGCCCAACCACTGCAGGGCTCTGGATCCCTCTGACATCTTGCAGGGCTTCAGATCCCTCTGACATCTCTTCCTTGGTGTTGTTTCGGGTGTGACATCCTTCCCTGTTGAGGGGTGCTCTGTGGAGTTTGGGGTCCCTCCTCTGCACTCTTTGGGGTCTAAGCACCCCTCAGGGATGCTCCCAGAGCCTGGATGATCCAGGGTGCAGGGGAAGGGTCCCCATTTCTCTCTCACCCCCAGCTCACCCCTCACAGACCCCCAAGGATGGACACCCACCACTGCCCCACAACACTTCCCCACACCCGGGACCCCCGGGCACTGTGGGGCACATTAAAGCCCTTTCCAGCCAAACCCACCACTGATTCCTTTGTTTGCACCCTCCACCTTCCTGCTTTCCACAGGGAACCGTCCTGAGGGGGCCCCGGGGCTGAGGGGGTTCTGAGGCTGAGGAATTCCTGCAGCCAGGGGGGGATTCAGGGCCGCGATTGTGGCTGAGGGGGCTCCAGGGCCAAGAGGGCTCTGGGACCAAGGGA